AGAGAGAGAGAGAGAGAGAGAGAGAGAGAGAGAGAGAGAGAGAGAGAGAGAGAGAGAGACGATATGGATGGATGGAAGCCTACAACCAAAAAAGAAGCAATCAGATGAACAGAATAACATAATTCTGAGTTAGCTGGGGCCGGTCATCTCCAGGATGTTATCTCGAGGCCGTTTTCAACTTGGGAAGTGATCTCCCAGCTGGCCTGAACACAGCATCAAACGGAAGCAGAAATGATGTGGTCCACTGCCAGAACTGTCTGGATGTGGCTGTGCCTAATCTCTCTCCAGTCATCTTTAAAAAGTTAATGCTGCTCCATTCCTCTCAACTTTTAAAGTTCAAACTTGATGAATAGCACATTGGTGAAAACTCGCTACTCTGCTGATCATGTTCGAGAGCTGCAGCAAAAGACTTCAAAAACTCAAAACACTTGGTCGCATTCCGGGCTCAAGGGCTCAAATCCTTCTGCCCCAACATGTTTCTTCTCCTTAACTCTTTCTAAATGATCTGACTGGTTCTTTAAACTTCTTTTCGTTTTTTTTATCGCCACCAGTGGGTCTTTGCCAGAACACGTGATGGGAAGTACGTGGCGAAACGCAAAGGAATGGACTTGACACAAGTTGTTTATGAAGAGCCACCAGTAAAGCGTGCAAGGGGAGAGATGACGAATGGTGACTTGGATGAGAGAGCATTGAGGAAGGCAATCCGGATGTTCCACGCAAGGCAGTCACAGTTTAAAAAGGTGGGGACATTCAGAAGTTGAAGACATCTTTATGCACATCTTTGAAAAATGCTTGTGAACTTTTCTTTTTTTGAAAAGATAATTTATTATGAACTTGTTGAAAACTGGGTTCAGCGTTCCCTCACAGGATTACTTGCTCAATACTTCCTCCATTATGGCTGAAGGACCCTGAGATAGTGATATTGATTGCTTCCTAGGGAAGAAAGATTCACCTCCGCTCCACCCCTGTTCCGCCTTTCACCTATTATTACTGCTAAGTTTTCGCAATCTGGAACCTCTATGTTGCTCCTTTCAGTCATACCAAGCCGACTGATTTCCGTGTGTGTTTCTAGAGCTGTTATAGAGGACTTAGTGAAGCTTTCTTAAATTCTCCCGTCTGGTGCACAGTTCCTTCCCCTTCCTTGAAAGGGTGGTTCTTATTCTGCAACTGTCTGCTCCATTCATTGGGTCCTAGAACACCCCTTACAAGCAATAGCTTGTCTACAGCAACTAGGATCCGAAAAAATGTGTTCAGGAGCTCTTGTTGTTCGTATAAGTGGCCGTAACCCACCAGACGCTGACTGCTTACACCACCAGTACTTGGCCCAGCTATCGATGCCGAGCCCTGCCCCTGCGTGCCGATTTTTGTCGAAGCGCCGGGGTACCGTTTCGAAATTGTTTGGCTGGCGCCTCCAGCCATTGAGGTTCGGTGCCCCGAAGCCCTAAAGGCGCAGCGCGTTAACGGGAAAGCGCTGCGGCCGATAGCTGGGCCAAGTACTGGCGGTTTAAACCGCTAGTACAGTGTGCACGGCCCCAGCCACGCAGAAAATGTCTTGTCACCTACTCCGAAAATTCCGCGCCTCAGGCCTAGCTTTCCAGGTGCAGCTGTCGTATTTGTAACTACGGTTCCTAATCAGGTTATGTGGTGTTCAGCTGTATGTCTTCCGGATCTTCCTGGCTGACATACAACTGAACGCCGCCTAAGCTGTTTGTACAAGCAGACATAGTGGGGATTGCTGTGTGCGTCTTTCTGAGCTCAAATATGAGGCATTGTAAATAATTCAACTTTACTGCTGTCTAGGTCGTTCTTGTTGAAGGAGCTTTAGTTTTTCTCCGGCCTTGTCTGGGTGATTTAAATTTTAAACTTATTTTTTTTCCCTGTGTAATGTTCTTCTCCAGGTGGTTCTGAGTCATTTTTTGATCTGCTGCGGAACGGGAAACCACACTTCCTGGGGAGTGGACATGGAAACCAGACAAGAAAGCAAACGTTAACAAACGCACACCCATACAAGACTACACGGTCAAACTAGGTTATAAACTAATGTTAAAAACAAAAGACCCAGAACCGGTTATCAAATCCAGGTGGCAAAGACTGGTAGGTCAGGATGCCGACAGCATCACGYGAATTCCGTGGAAAACCTACAAAGCGATCAGACCTATCAAAATCAGAAGCTTCCAGTGGCTAATTACATACGCAGCCCTGCCAGTCAATCAATGGTTACATGTCAGGCGGAAAGGTTCCAACCCAGACAGCTCTGACACATGTAAGGTGTGTACGGAGAACGTAACTGAAGACATAACACATTGCTTAGTTCACTGTAGGGAGGCGAAAAAGTGTTGGGCAAAAGCCGTGACCCTCTGGAATTCCCTTCTAYCTGTCCCTTTYCCWGAAAAACCCATCCAAGTCCTTCTTCTTATTAACATTCCCCAACAACTCCGGAAAGTGGAAAAAGTATGGTTCGGGATGATCAGGAAAGTGACCCTTTGGGTCATATGGAAGGAGAGATGCAGCAGAACGATCGAAGAAACATCCAATACTCCTGAAATGGTTTGGGCGGAGACGAAAACAATGATTCAGGKGGAGATTCTGTGCAGATGGCRGAAAATCAAACAGTCATGGTCTRAAGATGAGGAACAAYGAAACAAAGYCAGACGGAGTTTCAGTAAAATCTGGTTGATCGACGACAAAGTGGCCGAACTGAGGGATGACAACATACACTGGAAGGACTGGCACATCTCGACTGCAAGAGGAAGTGAGGGGCAACAGAGTACAACACAGGGACAAGGCTCCCCACTGTCAGAGTCATAAAGAGG